AATGCTACTGTTGCTACTGTTGCTGCGACTGGTACTAGTGCTACCACAACTACGACGCCCCCACCTATGCACAGTACTGACGAGGATGAGCAACGACGACGACGAAGGCGCTGCTGATCAGCATGGCGGCAAGGACTGTGCTGACGACAGTTCTGAGCTACTCCTATCACGACTGCCAGCATCACGACCATGCATGAAGACAGTGTGACTAGTCAGTCTACATATTGGAAACACTGCTGTAACTCCTCAACAGTGGCTCTAGCCGGGTTCCCTAAACCCTAAACCCTAGAAACCCTAAACCCTAAAGCCTAGCCGGGTTCACGGCAAGCTCTGGCCAAAGCAAGCTGACATGCTTCGCGTGTCAATCTGCTCCGGGAACCAGACTGTGCGAGGAGAAGCTCTCGCCCTTAACTTGAAGTCGCACAGCGGTCGAAGGTTCAAGGTTTAGGGTTGCTAGTTCATGTTTGGGATAGGATTAAAACTTTAAGTTTTCATTCCTTATTGGGTTTAAGTACCCATAAGGTTTTTAAATGTTACTCCCAACTATGACAAAGGCTGGGGTGTGGGGCTTGTGTTTAGGGTTTGGGGTGCTCGCAGCTTTGGGTTTACCTAGAGGCTCATACCCTACCCCTTCTTTCGGATACCTAGTTTTATGGTTAGGATCTGTTATCTTGAAAAGTCGGCGCCCTAAAAAAGGGATAGGGCATGAGCCTCTTGGTATGGCGTAAAACCTCAACCCTGAATCCCCAAGTCCACACCCTCACCCCAGACCCCCGGGAGGATCTAGAAAGTAGATCCCCTAATTTGGGGCCCTGTACTACTAAGGGTACTTTATAGGAACCCCCATTAAGGGATCTACTTTGTGGATCCTCCCGGGGGTCTGGGACACTGCTGGACCCGACATCGGACAGCTCTCATGTAACCTCACAGCTCTGAACCCTAGGCTCTCAATCCTACGCCAACTTAAAGACGGCCAAAACCGTAGGACTATAGCTTTATTACACCATGTTGTGCTAAGGAGTTGATGTTTCGCTGGGCTTTGAAGTAACCAGGGAGCAAAAAGTACAGACTTCTTTTCACAATTGGTTCCCTTTAAATACCAGGTCCCCAAGAAGTATTAAAGTATGGTACTCCAAAGCCCAGTTAGTGTTTAGGATCTACGATTTAATGCTTCGGGCTTGGGGTGCTTCGTCCCGTGCCGTTTTGCCAAACACTCCCCAATACAGAAAGCACTTTCCTGAAAACCCCTGAAATCATCCCTGAGCCAGAGCAAGAGCAGGGCAAGAGAAAACAACAGCAAGAGTAAGAACAACAGCAAGAACAAGAACAGTAGCAAGAGAAACCCTAAAACCTCCACTCCAAGCCCTAAACCCTAAAGCCTAAATCCCACACCCTGAAACCGAAAGCCTAAAAAATCAATCCTACCCACTAAATCTTAAACCTTTCAATCTGACTAATTAAGGGCTCAATGGACTTGGTACGTGGGGATATAAAGTGGGGATATAGGTACCCTAAGTAGGGTTATCTTTTAATCTTACTTACCTAAGTCCCATGAACCTTCAAGTGTACCGACAAAGCAACCGTTTGAAGCACAGAATCTACAACCCTAAACCCTTCACCCAAAACCCTAAAACCCACATCCTAAATCCTTAAACCATCTCATACGACTAAGAAACAATCCAATCTTTTAGGGATCTTGTTACAAGGGTGCCGTATCATTTGGGGACCTGAGAAGGGACCCTAACTTAGAGAGTACTTACCCGTACTAGGTGTCCATTTTAACAGTCCCTCAAAGTACGTGAAATTAGGGCTCTATATTGAACAATATGGAAATTAAAACTTACCCCAAAACAATACGCTAAACCCTAAATCCTTAAACCCGAAGCCCTAGACCCCTAAGCCCTAAACCATCAAACGATTTGAGGTCGAGACCTAGACTAAAAAAATGAGTTGTCCTTGAAGCCCTTTGAAAGTTATCTACTATTATGGTTTTCTACAAAATAATAGGGGAAATTTAAAAAGATCCCAAAGGACAACCCAGAAAAGACCCAATGAGACGGCGAACTTCTCTTCGAAGAGCCTCCAGGCCTCTTGCGGCCCCAAGGCGCGGAGCCCAGGGCTTCAAAGAAGGGCTTTGGGGGTTTAGGGGTTTAGCGTTTAGGGGTTTAGGGTTTAGGGTTTAGGGTTTAGGGGGTTTGGGGTTTAGGGGTTTAGGGGTTTAGGGTTTGAGGGTTTAGGGTTTAGGGTTCAGGGTTCAGGGTTCAGGGTTCAGCAGCTCCGGATCGAGCAGTAAAGTTGCATTTACGGCTTTGATATAATACCCGCCCACCCAGAATATCCCATAACGTTAAGAAAATTAAACACACTTAAACCATACAGGTCGGTTCAACAGTTTCTATTCAACAATGACCTTTCTTCTCGGGTTCGCATTGCTAATTTCGAATCAGACTACCAGTCTGTTCCTTTTGGGGGCTCATATTAAGAATCCTGTGATGTAATCCCAAAAAGAAACTACTTTGGGGCCTATGGGTAGGGTTCGGACTTTGAAGTGCCGACTCTTGTTTTAAAAGTTCAGGGCTGGGTTGCGGGGTTAGGGTTCGGAAGCTAGGGCTATGCTTTGGTGTTGCAAGGGCAGGGTTTAGTGCTCGGTGTGTTGGGTTCAGGCTTGAGGGCTATAAGGTTATTTTTTAAGGGCCCTTTTCCAGTCTGCACAGGGTTATAAGGTTTAGGGCCTAGGGGTTTAGGCCGTTCAAGAGAACTGGTGCTGAAGCATCCATCCTGTACAAGCTGCACAAGAAAGATGATTACTTCCAAGACGGGCTCAGTGGCTGTCTAGAAAATCTTGACACGGTCCCCGGTCCTCTTGCTTGAACCCAGTTGTCGCTGTTTCGGTGAATACATCGTGACTCCTGAATATCAATTCTCACCTGAACCCTAACCCCCAAACTGCCCAAACCACAAGTACAACTGTTCAGGCTTCTTGGCCGAAAACCGCATAATCCGTGGTTCACGGTTTGGGGCCAAGGGCGGCCATACAAGGGTTCGGTTTAAGGGTCCTGGCTTCAGGGTTCACGAGTCCTTGCCATCTTACGGGTTCAGGGAGGGTTTCGGATTCTCAGAGACGGATTCTAATCATAAGAGATCTGTATCTGTACCGGTGTTCGGTGATTGTTGAAGGTTCCATAAGCGGTCCAAACAGGCTGTGGAGGGGTTCAGACACTATCAGACACCCCGCCGCACCTTGGTATGGTCCAATATGGGGCATTCTAGCACAGTCACATGCAGGCTGTACACATGATACGAATTATTCAACCCTCCAACCCAACAACCCCAAAAACCCTGCACCTTAATTCCTAAACCCTAAACTCAAAAACCCTAAAACCAACACCCTATATAAACACTTAACCCTAAAACCCTTGACCTTAAATCCTAAACCCTAAACCCCAAACTCAAAACCCCTTAAACCAACACCCTATATAAACACTAAACTCACTACACTCAGAACCTTGCAACCCTAAAGCCCCCCAAAGAACCCTCAGTTCGGGGACCGCCAAGTTCTTGCAAGCGCCAAGTACTTTCAAGCCTCGGCCTCTGAATTCGACACAGCTCGCCCCTGCCCTGTATTTTGGGTTTGGGCTTAACGGCCTAGGGGGTGTTCTTTTTTGCAGGCTTTGAGGGTTTAGGGCTTATGTGGTCTAGGGCTGTTTATGGATTCAAGTGCGGGCTTTGGGGTGTGGGTGCCGCGCGTTGGGTTTAAGGGTCCTTTACAGGGTTCCTTTCAGGGGTCTACAGGGTACAAGCCCAAAGAATGTAAGCTTTCATGTTGAATAATAAGGGATACGTATGACTTTCCCAAAATGTAAAGTGCACTCATTCAGCTACTAAGTTAGGACTTAGGGACCAGGGTGGTTTCGGTTCAGTTAGAGGCACGCGATCTGCAATTAAACGGCAGGGCAGGCACGTCCCCAGAGAGCCCAATGCCCCTGAACAAAGGAATATGCCTTGAACCATATCATCATGCCCCATGTAATTCAAGGTATGCTTCTTAATCAAGGGGCATTGGGCTGTTTGGGTCAATGAGCCATTATCAACCTTCCTTCGTGCTCAGGCTCCACAAATGCGCTCCACATGGCGGAGTCACAGGTGCGTCATGAAACGGCTTTCGGTGCCTTTGGTGTCAGGGTTTCGGGCCTGGGGTTTCTGCTGTTGGAGCTTTGGGGGCTGTGGGGGCTTGGGTCTGAGGATTACCAGGTTTCGGGAGCTTTGGATGTCTCATCATCTCTTTTTTAGGGTTTAGGGTTTAGGGTTTTATCGAAAGGAGACTGGGTCAGAAGGAGCAACATCTCATTAGCCGTCAGCACATTCTGGCCAACGTGTCCCATCGAAAGCTTGCGACCGGGCCCCGAAGACCTAAGTCCTCATCGCTATAGATGCCGAACCGCCAAACCCAGAGGTTCTAGGACTAACGGCTTTCGGGGTTACTTAGAGGCTTACGGGACTTCGTAAGTAAGGATATAATTAGGATAACCCCACTTAGGGGACTCATAACCCCAATGATAACCTACTTACTAAGTCCCATGATCCTCTAAGTAAGGGAGGGGTTTAGAGCTTTACGGGGCTTGGGGGTTTGGGGGTTTAGAGTTTAGGGTCTGTAGAGTCTCAGAGACCTGATCCCAGAACCCGAGCCTTTTACTGAAATCGACCCCTGGTAGCGGCTCACAACCTTGAAGCCCACAACTCTAAAACAAAGCCATGTACCTTCAATATGGGGGGCCTTAATAGTTAGAAAGAGGTTTTGGAGCCCACTATACTATATTTATAGTAAGGAACCCCCAAAATAGTATTGGTGATGATTCAGGGCTTTGGGATCTCGGATCTCGGGCTCAGGCTGTCAGGAACTATTTTATAAGCCGCATAAGCCTGAAACAGACAGCCTTGACATTAGCTCCTAACCAAAAGATTCATCTTCATACGGACCGGTCGCGCTGGGCAGGAAAGACTCAGAGGTCATCCCACCTTCGGGGTGTAGGATTTGTTCAAGGTCCAAGCTTTTCTTTTTTTTGTAATTTTGATGTTCAGCCCCGAATGTAAGGGTCTTCATACTTGCAATGGTCTTTATAGAAATGGTCTTCATATTTTTTTCAGTGGAGCGGGCCTATAAAGTGGCTGCTTAGGGCCTATTGAGGATCCTTCCCGGGCCTTGGAAACAAGGATCCTATTCAGCCCCTACAGCCTTAACCCTGAGGCATTCAAGCCTAAACCCTAAACCGTCCTACTGTTGATGATATAAATCCTGCATTACCCATAATAAGGAAGATACCATTATTCCCATAGTTTAGGGTCCTTAAGGTAATGCAGGGTTTATATCATCAACCGTATTTTCCCCAAGGAGGACGTAAAGTTCGGGTCTCTGGTTTGGGATTTAGGGTCTCTAAACCATCCGCCAGTCATAATATGGGAGTTTCCGACAATTCGGGGTCCTTATAATAAGGATCCTGCTATTTAGGATACTATATTAGGGTCCCCTATTTTCGGAAACTCCCATATACTACTGCTATGGAATTATTAGGATGGTATATTCGGGTACCCTAAACAATAGGTGCCGTACTATAATAGGGACCCAAAAAGGGACCCTGATTTTGACAACAACCCATATATAAGGCCTTCATAGTTCGACCCCGCTTCGCCTGCCAGAGGACAGCGACTTCCGCAAGGCTTCCATGTCAGATTCCACCACCTGGCTATGGAACCCAAGGGTTTGAGGGTTAGGGGTTTCGGGGTTTAGGGTTTAGCGTTTAGGGTTTAGGGTTTAGGGGTTTAGGGTTTAGGGCCTTTAGGGTTTAGGGTTTAGCGTTTAGGGTTTAGGGTTGAGGGTTTAGGGTTCAGTGGTTTAGAGCTTAGGGTCTACTTAGAGGATCATGGGACTTAGTAACCAGGGTAGGGATCTATAAGGTTCCTTAAAGGGATCTATAGGGCTCCTTATAATGGGATCTATAGGGTTCCTTATTATGGGTTGTATAGGGGTTTAAGGTTTAGGGTCTACTTAGAGGATTATGGGACTTAGTAACTCGGGTCATAACTAAGGTAATTATCTGGAAAACCCTTACCAATCTAAGCAATTAGACTAGGGTATTGAAAAAAGGTATACTATCATTCTTTTCAGCGAGCTGACTCGAAAAGCATCATAAACCGACTATCCTAATGGATAAACCTGTGCCGCATGGGTTTCGGACGTTGAAACACTCGGACTCGTTCCAGTCTAGATTGAAGCCAAACCCTATATAAACCCCAAAACCCACGCCCAGCATCCTGAGACAACAGCGCAAAAGACCGTCTGCGCCGTAAAGCCGTGCACCAGAACTGCGAAAGCTGCTACGAAAAAAAAACGTAAAATCTGAAGATTCACGGACCACTCTAAATGAGCCGTAAAATTCCTAGCCCTGGTCCCCAAAGCCTTATCCCCCCCTTTCGCGCTTCACCTGCCGGGTGGTTGCGCTGCGAATCTCCCTCCTAAGTTTGCTGGGGGTTTGGTCTCGCGTGATGAAGACAGACGGACAGACAGACAGATAGACATAGAGAGAGAGAGAGAGAGAGAGAGAGACACAGTCAGAGTGAGTGAGAGCGAAAGCGAGAGCTGCGGGATTCAGAGGTTCAGGGCTGAGGGCAGCAGAGAGTTTTAAGATTGGGCAACTTGGAGTTTGGGGGAGGGTTAATTATATAACTGTGACGAGCACATGAGACACGAGGCCTCTTTGTGCTCCCTTTTCTCATCCGTACAAATATGCTTCAGCGAGGCGGAAGAGGAGGAGGAGGAGCAGCAGAGCCGTATAGCTTTAATACAGGGGCCTCAAGAATTAGAATAGGGATCCCTTTAAAAGGGGTCCTTAAAAGGCTACTATAACGGATCTACGTCGCAGTACTTGAACAATCACCACTCGCCGGCTAGCCGTAGTGGGCGGGGCGTCAGCGCCCAAGGTGCTGACAAGCCGAGCGACCGCCCGACTTTCATAACCCAGAGAGCCCAAAACCCCTTAATTAAGGAATATAGCTTAAATCATAATATGAATCCCCTTACAATTCAAGGTATATTCCTTAATTAAGGGGTATTGGGGTCTCTGGGAATATGGAACCAGATCAGGGTTTTAGGGTGCAGGGTAGTATAGGGGCCTTTATGATTGGAATAAGGTTTAGGGGCCCACTATACTATAACTACAATAAGGAACCAACAAAGTAGCATAGGTAATTATTAAAACCCCTATAGTAATTGGATGCCTCAGGATGAAACGGGACCGAGGGGCTTGTCATGTGGGTTAAAGTCAGAGGCACAAGTGCCCCACCTAGTTCTAAAGCTCAAGGGGATTTGAGATTTCTGGTTTGAGGAATAGGGTTTAAAGACCTGGATGCCCCAAATTGCTGCAAACTCACCTGCAGATTTTCTGATTGCATGCTATCGGCCAGTGATCAATGCAACATGGCTTCCAGTGTAGCTACTACACTGATAAGATGTCAGGGATGCTCTGGTCCAACTGCCACGACTATCAAGCATACAGAGCCCGCCCCGTTAGTGCTCCCCTACCAACCTTTGTTTTAGGCTGTATGCATGTATCTCATCAAAAGCAGATAAAACAGCCATAATGTGAAAACGAAACCCCCTCCCACCCTAAACCCTAAACCCCTAAATGCCGGCAAGTCTCAAGCTGTACTCCACCTCCCAGTTCTTGGCCGTGTCCTCGAAGAGTCGGTCATCACTACAGTTCGTGGTTTGGAGTTTAGGGTTTACGGGGTTTAAGGGTTTAGGGGGTTTGCTTAGGGGTTTAGGGATTTAGAGGTTTGCGGATTTAGGGGCATGTGGGTTTGGGGTTTAGGGTTGAGGTTTTAGGTGTAGAATTTACAGTACACTGCGGCATCTATCCGACGCTTAACACTTCGCACTGAAAACGGCCTTGATTATAGAAGAGTCCTACGAGGGCATTTATCAGTCGTGTATAAAGAAGTTTTCCAACGTCTTGTACAAGAGTTCTGCAGGTGTGTTGTGAGGGCTCCAGAAGGATTGAACACTCGCTTCAAGTTTTGTGCGTATAGTAAAGGAAAACCCTTACAGGAACAGTTAATGTAGGAACCTGAATAAGCAACCCCGGGTTTATGACCCCAAAATAATAGGATTCATAGGGGCGGTCGTCAAAACTATGGTCCCTTTTTTGGTCCGTATTGTAATACGGCACCGTGCCCAGAAAGGGGCCATCATTTTGACTAATATAAGGAACCCCAATAGAGACCCAGGGTTTCTTGATCAGGTTCCTACATTACCACAAAGAGACAATCATTTAGCGCCTGGTACTGTATAATGGGGGGATCCTTTAAAGGTTCCTTTAAGGGTTCCTATAATTGGGGGTCCTTATAATAAAGATCCCATTATTAGAATCCCCTATTGTCGGAAACTCCCCTGCACCGCACGCAAGGAATCCACACCATCCTCTATTGACTGCCGCTTCTACTCCTACACTGCCAGTGCTGCCACTGCTTTCTTTCGAGCCGAAGATAACAGGATTGAACATTCGCCAGCTCCATGGGACGCGTCCGGGCAAACGTAATTAAGGAAGTCCCTGGATAAGGTGGCCCGCGACTCCGCTGCCTGGACTTGTTGGTGTAGTCCGTGCTGCGCCGATGTAGGGGGGTGTATTTCAGGCGCGCAACGAGACATGCCTTCCGGCGGTTTTTCTCCATGGCGGCATCCTTGGCTTTGCGCTGGTCCGCGTCACTCGGGCCAGTCCTTTGAGGACATGTTGGTGCCCAGTGATCGCGGGACCCACAAACAGAACAGTGGGATAGGTGCACAACTGCCCTGGATGCTGTTTGCCTTCGTTTGCCCTTCGTGCTGCCTTCACTGGCCTGCGTGCTATGTGCTACCGTGGCTGCACTTGCTGGCTCTTGCAAAGTGGCTTCCGCCTCCGCCACCTGGATCTGCCGCAACTTCAGTACCTCCGTGTTCTTCTCCAAGACACGCCTGGCAGCCGCCTGAGCAGCTTCTTTACACTCGGCGAGCAAGGACTGCAAGCGACCGCTCTGCTCCAGAGCCCGCTGCAGAGTGGGCCGTGCCTTATACGCATTGTGCTGGACCATTATGCCCATAAATACTTGGGATCCTTGGAACCCACCTCATCCAGGGTGAGGCCTTTGTGCTTGCCAAAGTCCATCCGAAAGACCTGGGACACGGTCTGCGAAGCTTCGGCGACCCAGCTCCTCTTGGCGGTCTTCTGCCAACCTCCGCTTCTTGGCCTCCTTACCAATCTCCTGCTCCTCGTGCCACCGCCGAGAACGGTCGGCCTTCTCATCAGCTGTTAAGACACGCAGGTCGTGGCCTACGCGGTACTTGTGCGCATGGCCCTCGAGCTTGACAACCATGCAGACGCTGCAAAAGGGAGCCCGCAAGAGCAGGTTGGCCAAAGCTTCAAAAACTGCCGGCTCCATATTGGTGGAGAGCTGGGAGGGACCGAAGAAACAGGTTCAACAGGCCTGAGGAAGAACACCTGCGATCCGTGCAGGATCTATATAAACATACTCCTACCTGAACAACCCGCCCCCGCTGAATTTCAGGCACCGTTGAATTGAACCCAAAAAACGCCATTAAGAACAAGAAAAGGCATTGTTCGCAAAAAACGTAATCACTCATTTCTCGTCTCTCACCGAAAGGCTCTGCTGAAGCACTTCAGCCTGGGAGCAGCTCACTGCTTAAAGCACACTTCGTTCTTGGAGCAGCTCACTTAAAGCACACTTCAGCCCTGGAGCAGTTCACTGCTTAAAGCACCCGTCCAGCCTTGGAGCAGCTCGCTTGAAGCACACTTCAGCCCTGGAGCAGTTCACTGCTCAAAGCACACTTCAGCCTTGGAGCAGCTCATTCAAAGCACACTTCAGCCTTGGAGCAGCTCACTGCTTAAAGCACATATGCAGGGATTTTGCAAAGCTTCTATGATCTTCGAACAGGGTGTTGAGCATCCCATTTAGGGTACACTTGGAGGCTGTAGGTTCACCGCGAGAGCCGTTCCAACAAGAAGCGAACTTTCACCAAGTAGCGTTGCAAGCAACGGACTGCAGCTGTCTGCGGATGAACACGACGGCTCACTCTTGCAACCCGGCCCACGAAATCTTCATTACTTTCGCATAGCCATAGTCCGGCATTCAATAGAAACGGCTCTCTAGAATCCAACTGTTGCTGCAGCTCTGTCAACATATGCATAAAATAATGAAGCCTGGGTCGCAGTCGGAACCCCGAAGCCCCAGCAGCAGTCAGACGACTAGCCATGTAGGCATAGCCCCTGGCGAAAGTCAAGCCACTGTCCAGTTTGACACGGGCACAACTTTGAGGCAACCATATGCCGTGGGAGTGCATTATGCCAATATAGTCGAGGCCACCACGAACCAACTGCTTCATTGCTGACAACTCTGCCCGGTGGTTCTCAACCTGGACATCCCGTAGGAAAAGTGACACCTGAAAGTCGAGCCACTGCAGTAATATCACCACCTCGCTGCCCTTAGTATTGAACCAGGCGAAGGCCGAATTGGTATCGTAATGCATGTTGGCTCTCGTAAAACCTTTCAGCGCTGGCAGCTTCTTGTTTGCAGCACACCACAAGCGGTAACAGCCATAAGCTCTGGAAAGCCGATCCGGGACGTTCTGCAGCTCATTTTCGGAATCGAAGTCCCAAAACCCTAGCTGGGCCAATCTTGTCACACAGCTGGCAGTGGCATCCCTAAAGATTCCGAACTTCAATACATGGAAGGGATCATTCTTGTACATAAATGCACCGAAGCTTTCCGAAAAGGGAATTGCAGACAGGGGAGGGTCTTCGTCCCATGGATCCGAAGCACCCACCGTTTCGAGCCACTTGGGCGCACTGGAAACATCAGTATACGGGAAGCCTTCGGATCCCGCATCACACCAAGGGCAAATCTTCGCAGGATTTACAGGGCCGATCCGATGATACGATCTATTGAAGCTTCCGGCATCGAAGTGCCAATCGGCATCACCCTTCGCACCTATAAATCCAAAGCGGTACCTTTCACCGCTTTTGCTATGCACCAGACCCTTCTCGAACAGTACCCTAAGTTCTTCGGCAACTTGCTTTAGCATGCTTGGGAGGATGTCGGAGTTTCTCTTGTAGAGCTTTGAGGGAATGGCGCACACCAAGAAGCGACTCAGATAACTGTGTCCACGATTGTTGTGCCTTTGGTGGCTCTTGGGATTCGAGGAATCAAGGAATCTGGCAGGGTCACTACGAGTGCACTCAGAGAAGTCTACTTCATCAAACTTTCGCTTCGTGGCACGAGACCTACATGTCTGGGCCAGGTTCCCTTCGACATGCCGGGTGTTTCGGTTTTCATCGAATGAACATTTCTTCAACATATCCGGAGGAAGTCCAATCGGGAACTCGAAGTCGAGGATGTATATCGGGCTTTTTTGTAATGTGCGCCCCTTATCTCCGTGGATACAAACCGGGATCGTGCGGAACCTGTCTTCCTCAGACATGGAGAAAACTACATGCTGGGGATGGTAGGATTGAAATCTTGACCAAAAGCACCCATAAATCTCCTTTGATGCAGCTGCTGAACACCCTCCGAACATTACATGCTCATAGTTGTCCAATAGGTGTTGCATGTACTTGCTCATGGAGATGTATGGGACTGACACCGCTTCTTCACCCCAGGAGTTTTCTGGTACATGCAAGTAGTCAAGCGGTACCCTAAGTGCTAGGCCGTACTTGTTGAACAAGCGATGAGCATTTCTTTCACTGTGGTTTTTATCCACTTTACTGGCTTCGATGAGGCCTGGCACTCGGCTGCCGTCGCTCACAACTGCACTGGCCACTTCGCCAATGATGCAAGCCGGAGCCTGGGGAGATCGAACTGATTCGGGTTGTATCAAGAGTTAAGGTTTTGGGCTTCCTGAGTTTTGTGGCGGGTGTGGTCTCGGGTATAGTACTAGAGAGCCGGGTATGGTGCGATTTGGATTACAGCAGGATTGTGAGAAGATCAAAGTAGCACGACCTATGTCGGGATAAGAGCAGCTGGGCCAGTGTACACGGGATGCGAAGCTCATGTTGCTGGGGCCGACCAAACCTTCAACAGACATGATACATGCATGCAATGCCATAACCCCCAATCTAAGACAACGGCCCCATCAGCCACACGTTCAGCTAGAGCTTCGAGGGTGCGACTTGCCTTCGGTTCACCAGGCGTGCGGTCAGAAATTACCTATAGTTCTAGCTTGTTGCAGCTGCCCGAGCAATGATCGATCTCTGTAGCACTTTTTTTCTTCAGATTGCCAGCATCCAAAATCTAGCACTCTACTCTCCGGTAGACATAGGGCCCCACAACGTATTCACATGTATACGAAAATCAAGTACATCTTAACTAATCAAAGCATTATAACAGTCCACGGTTGGTACATATATTGGAATGAGGGTGTTCGCAAATCCGGAGCATCTTGTCAGGGTCTATAACCCTTTGGCAGCACCATCCTGCAAAAGTTGTGCTCATCGAGGGCTCATCAGACTTGTGCTAGGGATTCGATCGGAACACAATGGATACCACGATATAAGCCACAACCCAATCCCCCTACCTTTAGCCTTAAATTTCTATAGATTATAAAAGCCTAGAAATAACGGCAATTACATGCCACTCGACTGCAGCAGAGGAAAATCTGCTACTTCTTGAGCCTTTTGGCCACTGGCT